TCTCGCCTAACCATTAGTCTTCAAATGGTGTGGACGAAGACGTACAAGATCCGCGACATAGAAGAAGACGAGGCCAAGGATAGTAGAAAATTTCTGATTAATATATCTGGGGTCTTTATTTTGGTGGACAATTGCAGGCGACAAATTATATTGAGGATTTCTTTGCTAAAAATATCTCAGAAGACGTGCATACGTCAAATAATTTTGCTTACATGTAGTAGAAGCGCATCATACAATCAAAATAGTGCATTTTATATTTCTCAGCCCGTTGCTAGGAGCATCGGCGACGTCAACAGTACTGGCTATTAATAGTGTAGAATACAGAATACTTAGTAAAAAAAGAAACAAGAGAAAAGGGTAGCGGAAATATTTGGTTAACTTGAAGGCATTTCTATTTTTTATAATTGACCAATGTGAAAACTGGTGGAAAGACTTTCACTAACTTATTACAAGCTGCACCTCAGACTCATTCATGAAGAGTATATTCAGCTTCAGACTGCAACCCAGACCATAACCTTTTTTATCCGACCAGTCTGCGATTATGGTGGAAAGTACGGTTTGGACTTTGGAGTTCAAATCCCATTTTAGCGTAATTCCCATTCGCAAACCAGAAAGTTGTAACAGTGTTTTGCTTTTCCAACTTCCTTGTACACAAAGCCCGAAAAATTGTTTTGCAGAACGTACAAATGTTACTCTTCGAGCCCGGATCTTATTACTAATTAAGCAGGAAGAAGCGCGCATATGTATGTACATGCTCTCCTATGACATATGTGTAGACTCGTGTGAACGATGACGCTAGAATTACTAAGTAGGTTCAGGAATTAATTCTCTTCAGTAAAAAATTGGTAATTTTGCTCTCTCTTCTCTCAGCTCTGCCACCCTCTCGCTCCTAGCAAAACTGATTAATCCGTTGATTAATCTGTTTATGACGATTACTATTTTCTGTTATGGAATTACATTTACCAAGTGTAGGCTTAGTCAGGCATTACTGCATAGCGACATAAAGATGAAGTCATTCCTGCAGCTAATATACTTGCTCATTTTATCTTACTCCTTGCATTCTCTTCAGGCCGTTTTAGTTTATAATATTCGCGAACGAACTTTTGTGCAAACTCTCGCAGCGGTCCCTTCTAAATCCTCACAGTAGAAGTATAAATTTACTATGTTTCTATTCACTTTTTATTTGAGCGATGTCGGCTTGGAACTTTGTTCGATTGACTACCATTATTTAACATTTATTCTAACATAAACTAAACGATCACATTCTAGACTATATCAGACTTCCAAATTATTCTTCCTTACTGAGAAATTCTCGAAAAGCTGAGCTATACTTCTTTAAAGGGATCAAGAAAACATAGTCAGATGGTAACAACAAACATTGGTTTTTTAGTTTACGGTGTTTGAAAAAAAAACTGCTGTCGATAGGATTTTGACATCTTTGCTGTAAGAGGAGAAGATGAAGAGGCTTTATGGATTAATGGAAACTATGATGTGCACTAATCAGTAAGTAAGTTTTTTAAGCATTTGTTTTTTGAATCATAAAAAGCTGAAAAAAAATCAAATTGCTGTCCTGGCAGAGTTTACTCTTTCAGGGCTGTAAAACATGACTCTCCCCTATATACTATGGTACTGTAATCCGAACATGACAGTAGTTCATATGTAGATGCTCGTATGAGCAATAAAATTATGTCTTGCTTTTGTTACATTAAAATATTCCTTCCTAATGAGTGGAAGGTCATTAAAATTGGAGCAAAAACTCGTATTCCCATGTGAGTTTGCAGTTTTTAGGATAAGTCAGAAAGAAAGGAGTGGAATAGAATGTTTCTGGAGCCAGCTTCTTGATTAATTGGCGCTCTTTGAAAGTTTTTGCAGTCTACACTTATTGCAAGTATTTCGAACCTTTTTTTGTAATGCTTGATCCGCAATGACCTTTAGGATTTTGCAGAATTTTCCGACATTACTCATCACAGAAAGAACCCAGCAGGGTTCCCATTCACATGCGCTTTTTCCGAATGCATGGCAGTGTTAGCGCACTCGTCATTTGTGTGACGAGATATTTACGACTACACATTAGGCTGCTAATTTTAGCAGCGACGATGTTAATTCGGTCGTGCTTTCGTCACTGGTCATGCTTGCAGTCTGGCCTGATGTGCTCTTTTGACTTCATTTTCCCGTTGCCCTATAGGGTTGGCCATAATTATAGCGACAAGACTTACTGCAGTTAGCGTACTATTCTATCGCGCACATAGCGCGCCAGTTTTATCGATTTTTCAATCTCATCATTTTTTCTAACTCTTGTTAAAATTTGGTTAAATTGGATCCACTTATAGTGAAATAGTGAAGCCTTCTCCTGATCGTTCCGCTATCCTTCGTCTGCACAAAGCCGGCCTCCCACCCGCCACGATCGCTATGTAAGCACCTCGGCATCCACCGCAGCGTCGTGTATCGCACACTCCAACGTTATCGAGACCTTGGTGGACTCCAAGACCACCGAAGAAGTGGAAGACCTCGTACTGCTCGCACGCCGAAGGACGTCGAGGGGCCGTCCGAAGGTCGTCCCGGCCGTCATTCGTCGACCCCGGCGTCAAAATCGATAAAGTTTACTACCTGAAGACGATTTTGGAAGATGCTCTACTCCCGTGGGCGAATTCCCACTTCAACGGCCGCCCGTGGACATTCCAGCAAAATTCGGCGCCCGCCCACAAGGCCGAGGTCGTCCAAGCGTGGTGCAAGAGCGAACTCCCCGACTTCATCCCGGCAGAAGAATGGCCGGCATCGTCACCGGATTTGAACCCACTGGACTACATCTTATGGTCCTATCTTGAGAGCAAGGCCTGCGCCAGTCCCCACCCCAATTTGGATTCTCTGAAGGCAGCGCTCATCCGGGAATGGGACGAAATCGACGAGGCACTCCTGCGTCCGGTCATCGACGCCTTTCCCAAACGACTTCGCCCTGTCGTCCGTGCCAAAGGTGCCCGAATCGAGAAGTAACTTATGATTGTTAATGTACCAGTTGTTACTTAATAAATGTTATGTTCATGACTCGTTTGCTCTTTTCCTTTCTGAGATATAAGGTGAAAACCTTGTCGCTATATTTATGGCCAACCCTGTATATTATCCGCGGACTGCTAAATCCTCCATTAGTGCACGAGCTCTTTTCGAATGCAATGGGTGTTCGCAACCCTTCATGTCCACTATAGTAAGATTTACTCTTTTGGTTGCAAAGCACCTAGATTTGTATGTTGATTTCATAAGGTCGTAGGATTGCGAAAGTAAAAGTATGCGCTCTCTAGAAGTGTTTCAGCAAAAATAATCGTTAGCATAAGATGCAAATAGATGCTGGTAAGAAGAAAAAACTTCATATTCTTTTAAAATTCGCTCATAAAAAATGCTAACTGTCTTAATTGAATCTGGACTTTATTTTTGATCCCAATTTGTATGACCCACCTTTCTGACTAATCGCAGAGAAATTCTTCTTGATAGGATGTCTGATAGTTATAATTTAAATGTTTTAATGCGACTTTGATTTCCTTCTTGAATTAATTCACTGATATATTATACCTGCAAAAATTTTCAGTTATTGTAACATTTGAGAGTTTGAGCAATGAGAGTTTTTTTCAAACATTGTATACGAATTTCCCCTTTTATTGTTTGATAATTATTTGCTTTCGTGTGAAATGAACTCACTGATATGAATTCTGCCTATTATTCCTGTTAATTTTTTAGTCCATTCAAACATTTTCATTACGAAACATTTTTTTGTACAAGACTTATGTCAGGTCTGTTCGGAAAGTTATTTTTTTCCGTTTTCTCTTCACTTCTTTTCTCTTTTTTTGGTTCAAAATTCACTTACCCTTATGCTAAAGCCTCCAAGAACTCTATAGTTTCTGCAAATTAGCCTCTTTAAGATTGAACTTGAACTCTCGTCTTCATTGAATTTTCGCTCTCCTTTGCCCTATTATTGAATTTGGCTTTCTTGTGTTGTTTCGCTCTAAGCTTTCGACATTTGCATTTGGCTTTTCGCTTCGAAAAAGTCTTTGAGACAATGCATCATTTGCATCTGCTTCATATACAACATACATTTTCAAACCATTCTGCTGATTCGATCATATCGTCTATGCACAAAGATCTGTTTTCTAGAAAATATCTCCACAGAACGGTCACCATTTTTCTTGCTCTCAAAACCCATTAAGAACTTGTTTCAGATTGATTACCTGAGGTTTATCGATAGTTACGTAGGACCTTAGAATTCTAACCTCAAGATTTTGCTGAATTTCTTGATTATTTCGTTTCAGATTGTTCAGAACACAAAGTTTTTCATAGAATCTCCTTTCACATTACTTCTTGTCTCTGAATTACCTATGGAAGTAAGAGGGTAAAAAGGCGTGATTGGAGAAAGTCGACAAGAAAACTTACTCAATTTCAGTTTGGGAAATCATTTGGCATCTAAGTTTATCATTGAAGGGAAATTATGCTAAGTTTATATAGGGTACTTAGCTCACGAAGAAAACACTCATGCAGACGATTCTAGCATCTTTCAAGTCAAGTCCACTATCAACTCCTTTAGCGTCTGCGTCTCTTACAAATATGAACTCTCTCGAAGAGATGCAGCACGTCTAGTCCTTGAGTGCGCCGTACTCCCATATTCTCTTGTTATTGTTCTTGCTGTTTTCTTCCAACGCTTTTCAGCTAGATAATTATATTTACCAACTGAGAATCGTTCATTAGTGTTGACTATGGGGAACGTTCACCATAAGCAATCATCTCCACTTTCCACTGGCTAAGCTTGAGCTCTAACGAGCAGCGTCTGCTAGCATATATCCCCGGGGATGATCACGACACACCCGACTCGACGCGCAACATTGCCCCTTCTCCACCAATCCATTGTTCGTCGAGCATTTCACATAATTAACTAAGCCATATGTGCTCGTCGTGACTCACATGTGGTTGCGTTCGCTATCGTTTGCTCGTATAGTGGTCGTATTTGCAGAAATTGCGCAATGAACAAGGTACTTCCGATGACCAGAATACGTTACAATCGGAGGCAGTCGACAAAGCTTGCCAGGGAGATTGTGAGGCCACAGAGCGGCAGGTAATTTTTTTTCACGATTTTTTCCCTACCTCTTTAGTCTGAGTAAACTTTGTCGAGGGCATTATTACTTATACACCATATATAGTGGATTTCCGAATGAAGACAGATTGTAGCATATCACTGCTTTTTGTGTTCGTACATTATTAGTGTCCAGGTTGAATTTCTTAAGGTAGAGCGGACCTTTCGACTTTTGAAAAGCACCTGAAAGCTTCTTTAAAAATTATAAATTGCATTCTTCGATGTCTTTGTTAAATTTTCGGGTTTATGGAGTTGTGTGCTTTTTGTATTGAGGCAGTACTTTTATAAACTTCAAATTTTGAATAGAGAATTTGCAGAAGCATTCAACCTATCAAGCTAGGCTATGGCGACATCAATATTTACCCTTTGAACTAGCTTGGCTATTGATCAGAGAGCACGCGCGCGAGAGAGACGCAGACTGCGTCGCGGGCCCGAGATACCTTAATTAGGTCACAAAGCCCCGCCTTCCAGCCTCCAAGCCTGCTGAATTAAAGGTTACACTCTTTTGCTTCTTATCGTTAGATCCCGCACAAAACAATCGACAAATAGAAAATCTAGAAAGTCTGCAAATTTGCATTCTTCTTGCTCAAACTGTAATTTTATCTACGCAGTCCGATATTCTAAGAAAGGAGAGGGTTTTAAATAAATGAAGGAAATGGGAAAAAAGCCGGCAGAGCCAAAAGGATACACATTTGATTTCTCGATTTTAGAAGCGCCCAGTTTTGATATATTTTTCAGTAACCTCTATACCTTCGGGACACGGTACCTTTCGGTTGAAAAAATAAGCAGATCTTTGCTTGGCATCTTTTGTATATGGAGCGCTAATCTCAGGCTAAATTTCTTATCAAAGATCAATGTACCACACTAAAATTGTTGGAGCCTTCATGATTTTCATTTCTGCTAAGTCTAAACGTCCACAAATTGATATTTTTGTGCCAAAGTGCCTGAATCGATGTTGTTATGTTTTTTTTTTGTGAACAGTTCATGTGCATGTGGACGCAGAACATTTTACCGTAATCATGAGGACGACAATAAGATATCACATAAGAAATAACGGTGTATCCTAGTATTCTACACATCATCTTCGCGTACTGACTTTTTCTTGCATAAAGTAAAGAAACGTCACGAAAATTACGCAAGATGTGATGCAGTAATAATGTGTAGACGAAAAATGACTCTTCAAGTTCGTAAAAGACCATATGAATTTCATAACTTACACACTATGATATTTTCCTTAGTGCAACAATATTATATAATTTTGCTCACTGTACAACTTTATGTAACGAGTTAAGGACTAAGTCTATAACATTTGCACATGTGGTAAGAAACAAAAATGGCGATTTACTCATCTTGTTGGGCATCCAGGGTTTCACATCTTTATCGAATATCGAGTCTACCTTTGAGCTGATTCGCATGTATCAGATTGGTGCAAAAGTTCTGTTGTGACATTTCTGACAATTCATAATTTCTCGCTATTCAAATGGATTTTGCCTAAGCTTGATTTCCCTAGATAGAGGTGATCGTTTTTTGTAAAAGCGTCTTTAGTATCTTTAAGAGCAACTTTGCGATCTAGAAGCAGAAAAAAAGCTCACTTCAATGTCTTTCCTCAAATTAAGTCGCCAAATCTGAAATTTGCAAAAAAATTAAAGCATGCACTGAGAGAAGCTTTATAATTCAACCTTCACAATGAGCGAAGTTTATGGTTTGATTTTTTGGAGGGAGTTCAAAATAGCTAGACATCTTTCGAGTAAGATTTCAAAAAAATATCTTTCAGAGTTATCAGCCCATTTTTCTCATTTGTAAAAGGTGAATTATAAGGATTATATTAGGTCGTTTCAAAAGTATTTTCGCTTTCTTCAAACGGACACCGCATTTGACGGAACAAAGGTTTCTAAGAGGTCTTGGAGGCATTCGACCCAGAATTTCATCCTCTTTCTAAAGGTTATAGAATTGTTGCAAAATAGTCAATGAGCTTTCAGAAAATGACCGAAATCTGCGACCCATGCTTTTTGAGATAGTCAAGTTTCACAATTTTTTAAAACTTTCGTATCAATCCTCAGGAGGAGTTCAAGTAACGTTTCGATAGAGTAAACCTTATAGAATACAGCACTGCTTTTTTCTCTTTTTTCTAACTTGCCGTAATTTTTTTAAAAGATTTTTTGACAAAACCATCGAATTTTGGCAGGCTTACGTCAGCCACAATCGCAGCAAACAACGGTAATTATTCGGAATTTGAAACTTCCAAGATGGTATATGACTTAATATTGATTTTACAAAGCAAATGAGAGCTTACGGATTCAAAATACCAAATTTCGAGTTTTTCGGGTACAGCCTGGGGCTCGCTAAAAAAATGATTTATGGCGATTTCTCCCCGGTAACTAAACGAATCGGGAACAAAAAAACACATGTTAGAAAGAGGAGTAAATGCTGCATCGAATGGTGCGCGAGCTGCTCTCCTTTTGATGTTCTACAAAGATTTAGCTGCCCAAGTATGGAAATCGGTAACATCAGTTAAAATTCTGTTAAAATTGTATGACAAGTTATGGAAAGGAGAAAAAAGTAGAGCTATATTCTATAAGGTTTACTCTATCGAATCGCTACTTAAACTCCTTCTGAGGATCGATATGAAAGTTTTAAAAAATTGTGAAACTTGACCATCTCAAAAAGCATTGGTTGCAGATTTTGGATATTTTTTGAAAGCTCATTGATTGTTTTGCAGCAATTTCATAACCATTAGAAAGAGAATGAAATTCTGAATCGAACGCTTCCAAGATCTCTTAAAAACCTTTGTTCTGCCAATTGTGGTGCCCGTTTGAAAAAAGCGAAATTACTTTTGAAACGACCTAATATAATTGCGCGCTTCAAATTTTAGTGCAGATTTCGCTTTTTGGCAAGCTGATTTAGAATGAACGAAGCCAAAATGATTTTCTTCTCCTGCTTCTATCTCCAAAATTCAAATTTATTGAAGAGCTGCGGAAAAAAATTTTTTGAAATTTATTTGTTGCAGAGTTTAAAAATTCCACAATTTCCCGTTTCTGTTCAGTCACAAAAGAGAAAGCGGGGCATGTCCATGTTCTTGCTCTCTGAATCGTGTCAAGCGTCTCCCAAAAGATGTAAAGTATCTGACGCTAATCCTCCCTTGTTTGGCTTTCGCGATACTTTTTATGTAGCATATTGGAAAGAACCATCAACCACTCTTTATTTTTTTGAAATTAGGTAGGAATGCCCAGCGCAACGTATCAGCTTTCATTACAAAAAATCTCCCAATTTGTAGTGGGGTTTTTAGACCAGCTGGTTCTAATAAATAATTCAGATATATTAAGTTGTCCCGAAAGTTCTGTCGTTTCAATGAAATTCATAACTTTGCGCTATATCAATGGATTTCCTTTTGTAAATTAGAAAGGATAATCCTTTCGCTTCCGAATACTGTTTCGGAGAGCTTCTACTGCAAGATAAAAATAGAAGAAGACTATATAAGCTTTGGTCATTTTGACTTTGGTCGCCAAAAATCTGAAATCGTCAATACATAGATTTTTTGATCTACTCTTTACAACTGTGAAAACTTTGTCCTGTTTGCACGTTTCTGTGAGAAGCTAAGAATTTCGAGTTTACTGCAAAAAACCTGAAAATCAATTTTTGTCACTTTTCTCAAAATCATAACACTCTACAAGCACGTCCAACCGTCCAATTTTTCGCAGCTGCAAAGACTAGATCATAGAACATATTTGCTGACGATTTCAGAAGACAGTATTCAAAAGCGGAAGAATTATTTTTTGTAGTAAAATGACAACGAAGGAAATTCGTTGGTTAGCGCAAAGTTATAAATTTCAATGAAACGACAGCACTTTTGGGAAAACCTAATATAATTAGCCTTTTACCTCTCGTAACTCACAGACTAGAGATTACGATGAAGCGAAAACTCATATGTAGATTCAGCAGTGCTTAAGCACCGGCTGAGAAATTTTCTGGTTTTTTCGAATAATTTTTTAGGCAGCCTGTACTCTCATAGGCGCAAAATGTGTCAATATCTTTGCCGTATCCAACAACAGATCGGTAACTTTTTCTGTTGTAAATCTGATGGTAGTTGAAACCAGCGCTATAAAATGGTACCTAAAGTTTCGCGAATGCCCTGGTTGATGATTGAAGATTCGATATATTTTTTTGGAGGGGGGGGGGGGGGGGACAAATGTATGTAGATGATCATTTCAGTTGTCACAAAACGTTGTAAATTTATTTGTGTTCGAAATATCTGTACTATAGTGGCAAACTTTTCCGGGAGGGGGAGGAAGAAAGGAGGGAAAGGGATATTAGCTAGCTTGTAAGTTAGTAGTTTCTCGGAAACTGTTCGTTATATTATATTATTTATTCACCACAAAATTATCAGAATTCACTGCAGATTTCATGAAATCGTACTGATTATTTGAATTTGTTATGAAATTCGTAATAACATATTATTGATTCATTCTAATTATCAAAATTTACCGTGAATTTCATTGAGTCATACTGCTATCTCACAGTCAAAAACCTTGCTCGCTTATTTATACAGCCACTTCTAGCCCTCTGTTTTGTCTAACATTTGCACTCGAGCACGAAAGTTTTTCCCTTATAGCAGTTTATCTTTCGCCCTCGACTATCCACTGCTTTGCTCTCGATTATTCGTCCAAACAAACACAGCTGGCTCTAGCCGGGCTTTGAAGTGTTTCCCATAGCTCTCGAGCTGCAGCTGCATGTGACACCAATTACCGCGGCGCGAGTCTTAGCCGTCGGTCGCGTCCACTCCGAAGCGAAAATCGAATAGCTCAAGCTGCGTTTCCTTCCGGCGAGTCATCTTCGGCTAGAATTGCATCCTCCTTTGCCGATTCACATTTATATAGCTCGCCTGACTACTTTGCAAACATCAATAAAAAGAGAAGAAAACTCAATATTGATGTTTTTTTTGAAATAGCATCTCTGATCTTCAAAAAAATGTGAGCTTTCTCCAA